GTTCCCCAGATCCTCCTTCCTGCCCTGTTTCTGTGAGCAATAACTTCTTTAGTTTATGTACAGCTCACTTTGTCTCTTTGTGCTCAGTGTAACTGGTGGGGTAATGGTAAGGGTAACAGGGAGGATATCAAAGAACATTGGGACTTGAGATACAATGGAAAGCTTTTCCTTTCATGCCCTCTCACTGCCAGCAGCCTTTCTTCAGTAGTGTCCAGGCTACTTTAAATGATATTATTTTAAGAATAAAATTCAAGCCATTATGAATCCCACATTTCAGCCTTCTTCAATTAAAATTATCAAGTAGTTCTAATAGCAGTACTAAGGAAAAAAGGGCAGGAAGGCGCTCTAAATACAGTCATTGTAGAGTATAAAAGGCATTCAGTAACCTTTCACAGATGGCATGTAATCCAATAGAGTTCACAATTTATTTTTTTAGATTAGATTAATACTTTAATGCATCTTATCTGCCTGAGAAAGAGGGAGGCAAGTGAGATGCTGCAAAGCTGACAGCTAGAAGACTAGCTTCTAGGCAGCTAGAAGGAAAAAAACCAGCAGTTCAAATTACGCAGTGTTCTTTGCCACAGGAACTTAGGTATCCCATGACTTTAAGGTTATTTTCCTCCCACAACATCATCCCTCATTTTCTATCATAAACATCCAATGACTTGACGTTACTTTTTTTCTTGGGCACTGATCTTGCACTCATGTATATACATTTAAGTTCACTCACAGAAGTAGCATCGTTGGCTGCAACAAGACAATTCATCACATGTGTAAATCTTTTAGGATCATTGGCTTTGTTTTGTTATGGTGAAGCAGGATGCTAAAATAACTTTGTTCCTGAAAATTTAACAAAGAACTTTACAGCAGCAGGAAGAAGAAAAGAACCAAGCATTTACAGAGTCCTTAAAAGAAGTTGAAATTCATTTTTAAAAGAGACACTGAAAGTGCTAACAAAAATACAGAAATAATCTTTGCTCTGCTATATCTCTTCATATTACAAACAGAAGTCATCCATAATCTCAAACTAACACATTCTTCTCTGTCATGCACTTTGCCAAACTGTGCATTATCAGATTTCTGATGTGCTTCTTTGGATTGAAAGATTCATGGAACACTTAACCATTACAGTACTCACTGAGGTCCATCCTGCTGGCCTTTGTTAGCACTGTAACTGCTAAAACTAAACAACCTAACGTTATGTGCATATGATGTCCCGAATTCACAGATCTCAGTATTGCACCACGTTGTGAAAAACCCAGACTGGCAATACCTGATATTATAGAGGACATACCATCCTGATAGGACATTGAATTATGGTTCTGTCTATGTGTAACCTCTTTCTGTACAGGAACATGTAGATACTGAAAAATTAGTTATGCATTAGAAAGCCTACAGCCATTTAAGAGTACTGTTTAATGGATCTGGAGAATCTGTGGAACGGCCTTTCTACGGATTTGAGGTGTGCCAATTCAGGACAAAAGTTTCATGTCACTAGCACTAAGGGTGCTTTAGCTTGGCTTATTACTTAGCTGTAATAAGATGGTGATGATGGGTTTGTGGCCTTTTTTTTCCCCAAATATATATAAAGTTTTCTGTCTGGGTTTCTTAAATATATTGGCGTAATACTGTTCTGTGAGAGCCTTCTACAGATGGGAGCAATAAGATAAAAACACTTAACATCAGCAATGGAAGCACTCTCCAAAATCCATGACAGAACCACATGACTCTCCTTCCTTTTAACCTCCTCTGCTTTTCACAGTCTTTCAGGATCACCCTTCTCAATTAAAGTCAGAATTCAGCTAACATTGTTAACTATTTGACAGAAAGTCTCCCCTCAAAAGGCAAACAATTATATGCTCATAATTCATTAACAGAATTATCCATTAATCCTATGTAACACTGTTTTTCATGATTTTCACTTGAAAATTAAGTATATAAAGCATTGGAAAATCAAGTATAAATGGAAAACAAGGAACAATTCTTTTTCTACTTAGAACAACACAACGTATTACCAATGTATTACTTAGCTGTGACTGAATCACTTGAAGTAGTTAAAAAGAGTTTTTGATTACTGCAATGTTTGGGACGAGCGATAAGATAATAAATAAATACTAAAGCTACATTTTGCATGATAGACTCCACTACAGAATACATCATATCTATGGGTTTTCCTCTTTTAAAACAGATGCTTGAATTCAATCACAGTGTTGATCTAAGAGAAGTCTCTGAGTTCAGTAGGATGTTTGCTCAATGAAAAATAGGAACCGGAGTATCAGCAGCCTCTAGGACTGCAGGTACTACAGCAGCTTCAACCTCCACTTGAGTCAATGGAAATTCTGGTGAGTTAGATGACATTAAACAGCATGCAGAATCAATTTAAAAAGTTGTTGCAAACAACTACCATATATTTTCTTGCCATAGAAAACCAGCAGGATGCATCTCATGAGTAACATATTTCACCAGCAGCAAGTATATGCAGAAATGTTTCCAATTAATTAACTTAGTTTGACTAAAAATTGAAAAATAAAACACATCAAAACCTGCATGAGAATCAATGACCATTTGAAGATAGTGTCAGCTTGCACACATAACCTTTCCACCATTACAGCACTTAACAGTATAATGCATTTTGCAACTACTGAATTAAAATTTATATTGCACTGAAATAAATGTCTTGTACAAAGTCAGTTACAAATTTCTTTGGTCTCTTTATAGCTTAATTTATCACCAAAATACAGAAAAATTATCAGGAAACTTGATAGAGCTTTAAAATTGATTGTCAAAAGGAATGTATGTTTACTTATAAATACATTTTTGTTGTATATGTTATTGTCACATAAAGATTACACTTAATAATAACAATAAATAAATGCTTTATTCAGTTAAATTGGTGCAATCTTATCTTCACTGTTAAAATCAACTTTGAAAGAGTTTGATCCTTCTGTTCCCATTTCCTAGTGATACATAGAGCCTTCTTTTACATTTTATGACAATCTGAATGTATTACAATCAAACCATCCAAAACCTAACAGAAATAAGAAAACAGACAGAGTGGCTAATCAATAAGATTCCAAGTTAGAAATGGCATATGAGCTTCATTGCCTGAGAATATGACTTGAAGATTAAAAAATCTTTCTGGGAAACTGTAGAACAAAGAGGAAGCATTAGTAGAAATAACAAGAAAGTAGAAAGAAAACAAATAATTGTATGCAAAGTGGTAGTCAGTCATTTTCAGAAGGTGTTGCCTCTTCACTCTATTATTGCTTTTTGTATTTCTATCATTCTAAGTCTCTTAGAGAAATATGGTTCTTCATCTTGATAAATCTCCAATAAAACAAAAATATTATCTTCTCTGTTAGAGCAAAGGAAAACAATATTGTCTATAAAGCTGGTAGTCCTACATAGCCTGTCAACGTCATGTTACACTGATCGGTTCTTCTTAAACATGCACTGACTTTTTGAAACAGGATCTGAATCTGGAAAGTTCTGAGGTGGTTCCTACTTTTTGCTAATGATGTGATATTTACAACAACAAACAAACTCCTGACTTAGATTCCCCTCCATTTGCGTAGCCCCCAGAATCTACTCTGTTAGGATCATTCAATTCATCAAACAGTCCTGTTTCAATAATTTCTTCCTGCCAGGCTATAGGGACAGCACCTGTCGCAAACTTTTTGAAGAACTTCTTATCTTTGTCGTCAAACTCGATTCCTCGTATTTCAGAGAAGTCAGCAATGTCTGCAACATCTTTGGCATAGACAACTGATGGGTCTGGCACAAATGGAGGGTCAATGAGGTTTGCCTCTAGCCTGTGGAAATTTATTGTTTTGAAGAAGCTATGTTTTCTTGGGTCATCATCTTCATTTCTGCAACAAAGCAAAGGTTTGTTCATCAGTAGGATGTTTTGCTTTCAGACAGATACAGGTTTGTGTAGGTCTCTGTGTTGTATACATGAGAAAGAACATTTTAAAGGAGGTAATAGACATTATACATGTAATGCAACGCGGTTCCTTTTCCCACAGCCCGAGAACACTGCAGTGCACAAGAGAAGCAAAGCTGAGAAGCAGAAAACTCATTACTCTGCCTCTCAGAGTACCTCAGTCCAGGCTAGGTGTCACACGAGTTCTGCTTCTGGCGGCACACTGAGATACTCATAACCAAAGATACACTTCAACCAGAACTGAAGACACAGCAGGGTGGGGAGGGGAGGTATTGGAGTTACTGTCCAACAGTGAAAGTCCAATGGTTTGCTGTATATTAATTAAGAATATCTATTAAGCTCTAGACTGGGATACATGGGGTTAATACATCTAGGGATAGACTCTGAGGAACAACAATGAAGAGGAAACTGGTGACAAATGACATTCCTGGTTTTACCTTAATTCAAAGCTGCTATGTGTCTACATCATAAAACTTAGTTATGTCAACTCTCATAAACACTCCAAGTTTTACCGAGTCTGTTCATTCAAATTAACTATTCTTATAAATGAACAAAAATTTTAAGCAAGAAATTCACAAATGATGACATTAGCAAAAGTATGTGTACCACTGGTAAAAGCACAATCCTCTATTAATATTGTTAAAATCCAGTAATATAATCCAAAAAGGACTAAAATAATTGTAAAAACCTATTTTAAGTACATCGTATGAAAAAGAACTGCAGACCTTCAGGAGAACTTTTGCTGTTAAAGAAACAGTGAATTGTTTCATTGTAGACCAACAGAGAGACTTGTAGGATATTCTGATTATAAAAATAATCTAAGCTTCAAAAGTGAGTTAGTTAAAACATGACAAAATACCACAGCAGAGAGGACCATGTTTTCTACACCTGTGCATTGTTTTTTTAATGTATTTATGGATGTACTGGTCTTGAAAATGGTAACATAAAAAAAAAATAAATTTGTCTGGTTTTTGGGCTCAGAAAATGGTAGCTGCTAACATGCTGCTTTTTATTTTTTGCACTCCCTTACAAAATCATATACTTAGCAACTGTTAGGCCTCATGTACTCTGAGACAATGTTCTATGAAAAAAAAATGTAATGCAAAGCTTTGACAAGTCGTTTTGTCTTTGCAAATGCATAGAAGATACAGAACTAGTAGCTCTGTGTGACTATAAAAAAAATCTTCCTTTTTTAAGAGCTTACGATATGTGTGCTGCCCTTCTGAGCTCCCTTGTGAGAAAATTATGCATGGTTCTTGTGAGCAGGCCACCACCAGCCACCACCCACTGTACACCACAGATCACAGCTAGATCACCGCCTGAAGAGCGACAGACGCTGCCATCCAGGCACCCTGGGCAATGAAAAAATGGTGTTTTCAACACAAAAGAGCCATATTAATACAAGTACAAAGGTATTGATTAAGCCAACAGGGATCATGACCTCTGCATATGATAATCTTGCAAAATCATCTCCTAACTTAACTAGCTAGTGATAACCAAGTACTTGAGCAGCCCTCAGGCCTAATGTGATTTAATTATATCCACTGTTAGCTTGAAGTGCATTAGAGTTGCTGTTCAAATTAACTAGTGTCCTGGGACACTAGTGGGCTAGTAGTGCTGGAAAGTCTACTGAGCAGATGCACTCACCAAAATTTCACTTTAATTTGCTTTGATTTTCTATAACATAAACCAAAAAGTTAACAGTTGGACTCAATGACCTTAGAGGTCTTTTTCAACCTCAGTGATTCTGTGATTCTAACTGCATGTTTGTGCAACTTAGAAAAAGCAAATGAACTCAATTAAACTCTGTCAAGTTTGTATTCCTCTACTAAAAAAAAAAACAAAACAAAAACACTTTACAGATTTAGGATTTGAGATGTCAATCCTGAAAAGCTTGAGTGGAGAAAAAGGGTTACATCTTCCCTGAGTTAACCAGTGACACTGAATCTTCAGTAAGAATGGGTAGTTTAAAAAGTCAGGTGTACAAATTAAAGCTGTCCTTCAGCAGCTTTAACTTATGCAACAGGCACTTATGCAGATAACTCAAGGTCTTGCTGTCCTTAGTAGAATTACAGTGCTAATCTTTACATAAGGATGAGCTGTCCTGGATAGCACAGCCCTTTCTAAGAGGTACGTGCAGGCTTTTATTCTGCATCATGCCCAGGCATGGTATCCATCCTATCATTTTCCTTCTTTAAGTAGGGCAAACAAGAATAAGAATATCTTAAATAGCAGAAAATTAAAAATAAATGTGTGTGATTACCTTTCTGTGTACATTTCTCCCATTGCTGAGAAATAAGGTAACAGCAAGCAAACAGAATGATTGCAAATGATTCCCTTAGAAAAGGGAATGTGGGTAGAGCAAGTGAATAGTCTGGTGCTGGTTTTGCTTCAGACTTGCTGAATGAACTGACCAAGTCACTCACAATCTCTAAATGTCACTTCCTACTGCTCTGAAATTTTTCTATTTCACAAAATGGTCTATGACTAAATGTCTGCAAAGCATGCTGACTTGTAAGGTAGAATGCTTTCAATGTTTTCCTATTTTAAAATAAGTTTTTTAAAGATTAAAAATAACACATATTTTGTACCAAACATATTCTATGTGCTGTTGAAAATATTTTTTCTCTGCAGCCTTGCAAAGTTGGGAAAACCCATCAGGCACAAAGAGAAGTTGTCTTAATTAACACTGGAATAATAAGAATATGCATATTAATGATATATTTCATTAAAGTTAATTCTTTCAGGCAAATGTGTGACTAACATATTGCAAAACCATTCCACAATGTTATGAAATATAAATTTAGACAACTACTTGTGCATTTTCATTGCACAGGGCTCATTATTGGGGCCACTTCTGTTGAACATCGTTATCAATGATCTGGATGAGGGCATCGAGGGCACCCTCCATAAGTTTGCAGATGGCACCAAGTTAGGTGGATGTTTTGATCTGCTTGAGGGTAGAGAGGCTCTACGGGCTGGACTGATGGGCCAAGTGGTGTGAGGTTCAACAGGGCCAAGTGCCAGGTCCTGCATCGGGTTACAATAACCCCATGCAACAAAACAGGCTTCAGCAAGAGTAGCTGGAAAGCAGCCCCATGGAAAAAGACCTGCTTCACAGACAGCTGAGTATGAGCCAGCAGTGTGCCCAGGTGGCCAAGAAGGCCAACAGCATCCTGACTTGTATCAGAAATAGTGTAGCCAGCAGGACTAGGTGAAGTCTTCTGATGAGTGGCTGAGGGAACTGGGGCTATTTAGTCCGAAAAAAAAGAGTCTGATGGGAGACCTTATTGCTCTCTGCAACTACCTTAAAGGAGGCTGTAGAGAGGTGGGTGCCAGTCTCTTCTCCCACGTAAGAAGGGATAGGATAAGAGGAAACTGCTTCTATTTGCACCAAGGGAGATTCAGGTTGGCTATGAGGCAAAGTACTCGGCACTGGTGAGACCACATCTTGAGTAGTGTGTTCAGTTTTGGGCACCACAGTACAGGAAGGACACTGAGGTTCTAGAGAGGGTACAAAGAAAGGCAACAAAGCTGGTGAAGGGTCTTGAGGATGGGTCTTGAAGGGCCTTATGAGGAGCAGCAGAGGGAACTGGGGTTGTTTAGCACAAAGAAGAGGCTGAGGCTGAAGAAGAGGCTGAGACCTTATCGCTCTCTACAACTCCCTGGAAAGGAGGTTGTAGGGAGGCTGGTGTTGGCCTCTTCTTATGTGCCACAACTGACAGGGCAAGAGGAAATGGTATGAAGCTATGCCAGGAGAGGACTAGGTTACACATTAGGAAAAATTAGTACACCAAAAGGGTGATCAAACACTGGAACAGGCTTCCCAGGGAAGTGGCTGAATCACCATCCCTGGATGTATTTAAATGCCATCTAGATGGAGTGCTCAGGGTTATGGTGGAAGTGGCCTGGTAGAGTTAGACAATGGTTGGACTCGTTGGTCCTTTCCAACCATCGTGACTCTGTGATTCTGTGAAAATTTCTTCACAGAAGGGGTTGTAAAGCACTGGAACAGGCTGCCTGGGGAAGTGGTGGAGTCACCATCCCTGGAGATATTTAAAGACCTTCAGATGTGGTGCTGAGGGACATGGTTTAGTGGTGACCCAGCAGTGCTGGGTTAATGGTTGGACTCAATGATCTTGAAGGTCTCCTCCAAGCACAACAATTCTATGACTCTATGATTAAGTTCCTGTGTCTATTCCACCTTTAGATTGAAAAACGTACAGTATATACAGATATTTGTATTCACAGTGATTCAAAGCATGGTGTTCTAAAGACAGGTACTATAAGTTTCCTGTTCATTTTTTACATGTTTATTATATTAATTTTATTTTGTCTACATTGCAGACATAGATCTCCAGTCTGTCTCATTAGAAATGCACTAAATAATTGTTGATACATATATATGTATATACACACACACACCCCTCAGAGGGATCAAAGACATTACAACCTAATTATTATAATGTTTAGATTTCCGGTTTTCTTCTTATTGAACAGTTACTTGAAATTGTTAAGTCAAGGACACATCCATCAATCTTCATCAACCCAAAGCCAACTCTGAAGTCCCCAAAAATCTTTTGCTTTACAAGAATTTGTGCCCAATATTATTTTCTTCCTTTTCGTCCCTGGGATGAGTCAGGAAGGACAGGAACCTCTACAAGACTTTGCTTTTTAAATAAAGGGGTTAAGGTCTCTTCAGTAAGAAGCCAATGATGCAGCCTTGCAAGTTAGATATCTGCAGGGAAAAGAATCCACACTGCAGATTTGGATTTTTGCCCATATCATTCCAGTAAGTGATATGGCTAAGATCCTGCATTCAGTCTGCACTAGCATAAATGCAGGTATCTACTTTAATATCCTTCACCTCTAGGAAAGAAAACACAAGAGAAATGGGCTGCTCCTTTCTCCCAAAACTATACAGAGGCTTATTCCACAAAATACCAGAATGGAACACCTATAAGGAGTTTGGGGTGAGGACAGACAGTTACACGATTACAACAAAATTCCTTATTTCCATATTATCTTCAAAACTTTCCACCCCTCTTTTCTTAGAAATGAAAGGGAAAATTCGGTACTCTGTAGAAAGTCAAGATCTAACTTCATTTTGTGTAATATGTAAAAGAATAACACTGTTTGCAGCTTTAGTCTGAGTTTGAGAAGTAAGGCATACCTGCTTCCTAAACGATTCTCTGCTTTCTTAGCCAAAAACAGTCGGCAAATATCTTTCGCTTCCTCTGTAAAGTTGGCATGTTCAAATTTCACCTCATCTTCCAGAGTTCTTCTTCTAACCTCCTCCTTAGGGACCTTTTCTTTGTAATCCTTGAATGGTGTTCGCCCAGCAATCATCTCATAGATACTGCACCCCATAGCAAACCAGTCCACAGGATAGGTGTACTCTTCGTCTTCCTTCAGGATTTCCGGAGCCATGTAACCGTTTGTCCCAGCCTATTGCAAACACACAGACAGATTTACTATACAATGTCAGTAAGGAAATGCAGATCAAACAGGCTAGTCTATAATACTTCCAAATGACAGTAATACAATTGATACACTTTGTCTCTAGAAATGTTGTGTAATTGATTTTGTTATCTAGAAACTCTGAGGTATAATTCTGTTTTAGCATATGGACTATATCTGTCTTTAAACATCCTAAATTACTGGAAAACTACCTTAAATACATTCTTCAAAGGTCAAATGTCTGTGCGATTTCTACCTAAAAATGGTGTCTTTTTAAGTTAATGTTTAACTTGCTTTCTTCTTCCATATTAATGTTTTTCCTTTTGAAGACAGTGTTGTTAGCTTTGTCCTATAAACAAAACTAGCAATCACTTTGAAAAGATCACAAAAAGAGAAAAATCAGACAATGACAAATTCCCTCCACATGCAGTTGTGTAACTGGTCCAAAACAGAGGTCTGTTGCCAATGAGAAAATTCTCATCAAGCCAGTAGCTGAGCTGGATGAGGAAGTTCTCAACTGTTCTCCCTGTTGGGTTTCTGGAAACGGCCAAGAAAACCTCTTAAAACCACAGTAAGAAAGTAAACGTATGAAAACTATAATTAGCAAATTACATGCACTGAGATAAAAAAATGAGTTAGTATTTCCTAACTGAAAAAAGCTCTCTGAAGACTAGTATTATGTACAGCACTAATGGACCCTTCTTCAAGGGAAGAAGTGACAACTCTCTGAGAAGGGATTCTGCTGGCTTCCTTTCCAGACCATGCTTGGCACAGTCCCCCTGGGGAACAGAATGCAGGGTGTTCAAAAAAATACCTCCTGCTGCCTCTCTCTCTCTCAGGAACTGATTCACATGGGAGGGAAGAGAGGAAGTCAACTTCTATATATGCATTCTGCTGCACTGTTACATGATAAGGATGTGACATTTCAATCAAAACAGCATTTGCTCAGCTGACCCGACATCTTCTGCCACATCTGATGTTATATCATATTTTATGCATTTACAAGATTCAGGTAGCAGTGATAACGATGTCAGGAGTTGCCTGAACCTCTTTGATACCTTTCTGAAATGCTAGGGTGATGTATTAATAGTATTATAATTTAAAATGAAAAATTATGTTTGTGCAAAATCCCACTAGAGGTTATTCAAGGTCACTATTACTGCTATCAGCACACAAGCAGTCTCAAGAGATCCACTCAAAAGCAGAACAGTTAGAAAAAGGTAACTACAACTGGAGCTCACTTGGGCAAATTATATTTGTAAAAAGCATAGCATGAGAGATTAATTTCATTTCATGGGGTTTGGGTAACTCCTCTAGTTTTTGCAATGTTAGGCACAGTGTTCCTGATCTAGGTCTCCCTATAAACTTTAGCTCATGCCACTACACATCATTGCTTATACTCTGCTGTAAACAATGTGTCCAAGAGGGAACATCTTAGCATCAATTACAACACTGGGCTAATGGACAGAAAATCAAATCCAGTTTGCTCGTCCCCTTTGTTTGTTGGTGTTGTTTTTGTTGTTGTTTTTATTTGCTTGTTTGTTTGTTTTTCACTTTCAGGGATATCAAGCAAAATTCTCTATTTGGCTGAAAAACAGCAATGTGATAAGAACAAAAATATCAGCCAAGCTGAAAGCAAAAGAGAAGGCTAAAAGCAAATTGCTGTCTCCCTCACTAAACCCACAAAAGTACAGAGGACCCATATGGGCACTGCAGAGCTAACATCATTCTGCAGGTAATTTGTACTGTTTGCATGGAATTTCTCTAAGTAAAAGTTAATATTGAGAGGTACCCTGACAGTATTACATCTTTCTATATGATTACTGCTCCGTTCAGAAATGGGGACAAGTGCTCAAATATGGACCACAGAACCCAGCTCCATCTGGCCTCAGAGGATCATGAAACTGGGAGAGGTTGAAAGCAGCAGAGAAAGTTTGGTATGAAAGGAGGTACCCAGCATCCTTTGTACCACAGCTCATTGTGGGTTAGCGAACACAGACACTAAATAGGCTTCTGCATTTTTTCGTTTTCCTTCTGGGAAGCAATAAGCATCCTTATTTTTACTGAGATGAAGCTGGGGCACTAATGCCTTGAAGGACTGATGAGTCACATCGTCATCAAAATGTACCCTCACAGTACAGTCTTTGATAAGACACTACTTTGCTGCAACTCAGCAGCACCATATGGGAACTGGATAAATCTAAGATAGAAAAGTCAGAATTAGAACTCTGTGAACATAAATGTGTCTCAAGGCAGCTCCTTTCAGACTGCCTCTCTTTCCTTCCACTTGTGTTCTTTCCCCCACTGTTACTTTTTCAAAAGAACTAGTTATCAGGTAACTTTAGTCTCTTCCATGTGTATTTTCCACTTAACTTGCACTGCTCACACCATAGAGAAGGACACCATGATTTGACATGGTACTCATGTTTCTCAAGAACAGAGAAAGTGAGACCACAATTGCAAAACAAAAAGGCTGCATGACAACAATTTAATAGAAAGAGAGATGAACTAACAGCAGCTTCCCTTCAGACTGAAGTGAAAGACAGTGGACAGAGTTACTGTGAACAAGAATTAAACTTCAAAATTCTAAATCAGTAGCACTGAAACCTTTTGAGCTGCTATCAAACTGATCCAGCTCACTCTGAGAGAAGTCTACAAACATACATTGTTCCACTAATACATCAACCCATTCCAATTCAGAATTTTGTGAGAACTGTTTTTCTCATGGAATTTCCTCAAAACTTAAACCTGATCTAAAAGCAAATCTCTCCCAGTCCTGAAGTTTTCTTATGATTCACAATGAAGGAACTGGCTGAGAAGCAGCAATCTAAACCTAATTTCACAATCACTGAAACTCAAACCCCAGTTACATGTTACCATTTTAGAGCAGAAACAAACATTTCCTAAGTAGACAGCAGTGATGTTTAAGGGGGGAGGAAAGAAATACATAAATTTCTGCAATCTTTATCAAAACATGAATTTGAAGGAAGGAAGAAAAGAGCTTGTATTTTAGTCTTTTCCACCTATTTCTACAAATGCAGAGCTTTAGCAAAATCATTTGGGAAGAAAGATTATAATAAAGCCATAAGCATTTGCTGTATTAGGGAACACAAAAAAAAAAAAAATAAATTATTCAACCCCCTGAGCTAGAAGAACACATATTTTTCACATGAAGATTTAATTCTATCTTTGGCGATTAGATAGCATTAGAGGGAAGCTAAAACTTAAGATCCCTGCACTAATCATTATGGTAAACAAGATGTCAAAAATCAGATCATCTTTCAAGGAAAAGAGATCCTGTGGCAACATGAAAGGCAGCCTAAACGACTCAGGAGAGGTTTATTTAAACAGGTCAAACAGAAGCTTAGTGAAGAGTGTTTTTAAACTGTACAGTTCTCACTAGCAGTAGTGAGACCTAAGCAGCAAAACAATAGTGTATTAGGTGGAAAATGCATCCACTGATTCCCAAAGCAAGAGCAAATCAGAGGAATGAGTTAAGTTACTCTCAGCAGGCCAAGGAGTAAATAAACATACTGTAGATTATACTCAAATAAAAGTAAAATGGAAAAACAAGGGCTGAAAGGAAACGAATGAAAAGATGTCACAAAAAAAGATAAATGCATTATTTTTGAGAAGAGGTATATTTTCCATGGGCTGATATTGAATATTTAATTCAGTTAGAATTATATGACCATGAATGGATACCTCTAAGTATGTGTTATTGGTGTGTCTATCACGTCAAAAAAAAAAAAATTAAAAAAAAAAATTAGGTTTGTATGATTTCGTAGTTGTTTTAATTCAACACAATCTAAAAGGAAATTCAGAATCTGTGTTAACCAGAAAACACTTTTTCTTTACATGGATAAATTTCACTCTTTTAATGTTAACAGGGAAAATCAGAAAAACAAATTTTAAAAGTTGAAAGTCTTTGGTGTCAACTCTACACTACTAGGACATGCATTGAGTTTGGACTGAGACTAAGACCAAGCACATTATTTCCTTCTTTCCTGTAGAATTCCTGATAAACCCAAGGAACCATCTGAACATATGTGTTGACTGCTCAAGCAATCTTACAGAGGCATGTAAACACAGGGAATTACCCATTCACTGACCTGGAAGTGTCTAATGGGACATAATTAAAAAAAAAAATCACGAAAGCACTAAGGAATGTTTTATTATCTTAAATTTTTTACAGAAGGCAGAAATCATAAGCTATTACAGAGGTACACAACTTTTTGAAGTGTAGTCAGTGCAACACTAGCTATTTTTTGCTTACTCTCCATCTAATACTGTCTTTTGTGATTATGAGCAGGATGCCTTACTTGACTATTTTTATATTTCAAACAGCATATGCATTACATTTCAGTCAATTAAATTTTAATTTACTTGCTTTTGAAAAGGGTTAACAGATCTACTTCTTCCTTTATTTCTCTATCTTGAGAAGAACCCAAAATACAATTTTTCAATAACCTTCTAAAATGTAATGACCAAATGTTTTCCTTGGATATATTAGTGAAGTTCGGTTAAGTGGAATTGTTGCTTTGAGTGTGGTTTGACATGGCATAGTAGAAATGACTCATCTGAAAGTATACAAATGTTTCTTTTGTGAAGTAAGAGCCTGCATGAATTTTTAAAAGGTTGTATAATTTTAATCTTTAAAAAACCGATGTGATCCTGAGTAGCACAAAGTGCACTCAGCTCTCAGTACAGTCACTGGGTACTTGGCACACCACAACCCTGAGCAGAACGGGGCTCCCAATGCAAGGATACCCATACATCCTACTCAGATTGCTGTCCTGAGAAGGGAAGGGCTCTTCAACACCACCATTACCCCAGCTTCTAGCAGACGCAGAGGGAGAAAGCCCTCTGGAGCTTTCATCAGCACAGAAACAGGCGAATGAGCAGAAGAGGGATTTAGATCTCTACCTTTTCCCACAGATCTCTGCAAAACAAACTCAATTCATGCCACAAACCAAACAGTAAAGCAA